CATGCATTGGAGATTTGATGGAGTACTTCTCTCAGTGGGTCTATGTGATGTGTGCCATACGTGGAGGTTCCTTTTGTGGCTCTGCCCGGGGTACTTGTGCCCTGTTTTCCTGCGCAGGGATGAAGCCCATCATGGGAGGCCTTCTGATAGACCCCGTGGTGACCTTGGGATGTCTGTTCGGCGGGCTGGGTGGCATGGGCTTCGCTGCTTTTGCCGCGTTCACGCGTGCGTCTGGAGCTGGCAACATGTCACGTGCAGATGTGATCGGTCTCTGTGCTGTGCTGGGGCTTGTAAGTGCCCTCATCTCTGGTGCAGGAGGTATGGCAGTCCTGAGCAGTGGGACCAAGGCAATCTTGATGTGCTGGGCAGAGGATCCAGATCGCCTGCATCAACGTGGCTTCGAGGATTTGCATGCAGAGCTCAAGTTCAAAGCCCGTGAATTCACCGGGTTTGTTGAAAACAAACCGCAGACGCCGTAGACGTCGCAGACGCCGCAGCGTCGTTTCTTCCGTGACGTGACACATGAGCTCAGTCACATTCATGTTGCACTGCTTTTAATATACAGGGCCCCCCGCCCCGCCAACAAATGTGGACCCTCTGTAAACGCGTGACGCGGCGACCCCCCTAAACAAATTGGGGGGGGGGGGAATCGCCCTCAGGGCCTCAAGCCTTTAGGACCTCAAGGCCCGAAGCTTTCCAGCCTTTAAGATTCGTGGAACCCAAGGCCTTCAGAACCTCAAGCCTGACTGCGTAACCCCTTAACCCTGAGCACAAACCATGAAAGCAATCATCCGGAAAAAAGAGCTGTGTATTATGGAGGGTGACCAGACAAAGACAGTCCGGCCGGCCCGTGGGCTACCTATCACGAAATTTGTTCGGGGCCTCGTTTCGTAAGACTTTACATGGAACTGGCCGGTCTTGGCTTTCTGGATTCTACGGCTCTTGCTCTTTAAGATTCCTGGAGCCCAAGCCCTCAGGGCCTCAAACCTTACCGCGTAAGCCCTGAACCCTAAACACAAACCCTTAACAAAACAAAAATAACCGTCCGGCAAAAAACTTGTGATAATAGCGGGTTGCACCAACAAACTCTCAGTCCGTAGCATAAATTTTCGAAACCTGTGATTATGGACCCCTGCTTTTATTAAAAGCAGTGCAACATTATCCCATGCATCCGCTTTGGCGGTTTGTTTTGGTTTCCTTCTTTGCCATCTGGCCAACTCTGCCGTGTTTTCCATCTGGCCAACTCTGCCGCTTTTTAATTGGCGACCTCGGAAAACGTGACCCCCTGCCGCCTGCGGACGTCTGGGACCGGACTGAAGTGCAGAGAACCCCAGCGTTGTCCAGAGCGTAGAAGGGAATAATGTCCGCTTATCTTGGCTTAGTGCAGTAGAGACAGCAGGGCTCGCGGCTCGCATGTGGGCTCGGCCGCGGCGAGGCACGGATCCACGATGTCAGGATGCCTTGCTTCTTTGCTCATGATTGCTCACCCTAAACCCTAAACCCTAAACCCTAAGCCCGAAGCCCTAAACCCTAAACCCTGAGCCCTAAACCCTCAACCGCTCCTTTTTGATGATTCTGTCAGGAGACCATGGGATACGGCTCGGGCGCGGGGGCAGCCCGGGAGGGAAGGCGAGCTTCTGAAGATCTCTCTGCTTAGTCAGAACAGCTGTTTTGGGATTATGGTTTAGGGTTTTAGGGTTTAGGGTTTAGGGCAGAAGCTGTTTGGGGATTATGAGTCACAGACGGTTTTTGCGGACGGGTTTGCGTGCGCATCCTTTGTAAGCTTCTCGGGAGCTGGGCCACTGTGAGCCAAGAAAACCCCCAAATGTCGGACCGAATCCTGCCGTCGCCAACGCACAGTAGCAATCTGGGAGGCCGAACCTTCTTGGAGCTCCTCCAAGGGTTGTGTAGGAGGGGAGCTTCGGATTCGTTGAGGAGGGCCTGGGGTTTTAGGTCTCAGCGCCGCGCTCAGTGAAGAGCTTGCTGCGCATGCATGGGGTGTGCCGCCGAGGTGCTCTCAGCCAGGGGTCGATCCTCCCCGGGACATGTGCTTGACAGCGCCGGCGCCTCAGCCTGAGTGCACGCCAGATGTCAGCTGTAGATGTCCTGGACGCCTGAGAACATTGATCTGGCTTGCATTACTAGTTTGGGCCATGTCGGTCAAAGTCACTGTGGCGGATCTCGTTGGACGCTCGTTGTAGCTTGAGCTTCCTGCCACGGAAATGGCGAAAGCCATCAAGGATGCCACGGCGAAATCCTGGGGCCTCAGGGTTCAGGGTTTAGGGTTTAAGGGCTGGGGCTGAGCGCATGGATGAGGAGAAGTGAAAGTTTCCTGAAGGAGGGTCAGATGGAGACTCGGTCGGCCCTGGGGGCATGTTGTATTTTCCCCTCAGTGGCTTTCAGAGGATCACACGGAATATTTTCCCCCTGGTTCTTAGTAATGAGGGAATGAGGGCCCTGCATAATCCCTTAGAGGGTGTATATATATATATATATATATACATACAGGGTGCTCATTCCCTCATTCCCTGCTAAGAACCAGCCAGTTCTTCAAGAGAGGCGCTCCCAGGCGGTCGGCCCTTCATTTCGCGTCACCCGAAGCCCGAAGCCCGAAACCCTGAACCCTAAACATTCAAACCTAAACCTTAAACATTCAAGCCTTATCCCTAAGCCCTCAAGACAAAATACATAAAGGTTGTAGGTGATATCCTTGTGAATTTCCCAAGCCGTTTGTCTAAACACCTGGCAAGCCAAGCTTCAGGAGATTAATCCAAGGCGTTTGTTTGTCTAAAAAGGCACAAGCCGAGTTGGAGAAAATTGTGGGAGGCCAAAAGGCCCAACGAAACGAGGACATGCATGCATCTTGAGAGACCCCAAAACCTTAAGGATTGGGAAGACCGGGTTGCACCCAGGGACGCCTGTTGCTTGAGGGCCAGGTCGGACAACCAACAGAGGTCTTTTCTGGGAAGTCCCACAAGTAGGTTTTGAAATTATTCGGGGCGCTCTAGCGGGGACGGCTGTGCGTGGAATTTGCTAGGGGGGATCCCCTGGGCTATAGCATATTATAGCATGGCTCAAGAGCTTCAGCAGGGAAAGTTCATGCTCAACTGCTTCTTTGTGCATGTCGAACCGCAGTCCTACTGCGGACGGAGGAGATCTGCACCATCCGTGCTACCCTATCTCCTGCCTTGAGGGCCCAGGGACACAACTATCAAGGTTTCGGGTACATCCCCCCTCTGAATGTCTGCAGCCCCTGATCATGGTTGGGTCTCTGGACCCTTAGCGCCAGGAATTTCCCTATCCTAAGGGGTCTTAATCGCCCAAAGTATGTATTGCACTATTCAAGCCTCCGGGCCTAGAGCAGATTTCATCTACTGTCTTAATCCGCGAAGGTACGTTTTTAGGATCTTCCTGGGCTGCAAGATGTCGCAGCAGACATCGCCGAGATTCCTGCATCTCTCAATGACAACGGTTTTGAGCTGAAAGTTTGCAGCTTTGGATGTTTTTTTATGATCCCTCATAGTTGTGTGGTGCAACCTATTGGAAAAAGCAGGGGGCCTTTGAAGTACCACCCCAGCTACTGGCTTCAAGGTTAAGACCCTTGTCATACCCCGTGCAACCTCTAGAAAGTCTTGTATGTCCCTTATGGAGTCAAGAGTTTGCGGGCGACCACAGGGTTTTGCCAGTCAAGCCTGCTGTTTTGGGTATCGAATGGCCCAAAATCCATACAGGGTCACAACGAGTATACAGCAGACGATCAACCCTTGAGTGTTTCACAGTACCCGGCCATTGTTTCCATGATAACCCCGTCCGAAAGTAAGTGCAGGAGTAGTTGCAATGCTCGTGATTTTTTGAGCTTTCCCGGACAACACCGGTCTACGCTCCAATGCCTACAATCTCAAACTACAAGCCGCAACAAACAACCCTGGGCCCAACACTCATACACACTCTAAGCGTGCTCTGTCGCAGCTGAAGTTCCCCAGCACGTCCTGCAAAGATTTCCCTGCAAAGGCTCTGGGGGACGACTTTTGGTTTCCGTTCAGCTCCCGGAACCGGGTTGAACCCAGGTTCGAGCCCCCATCCCCCCCCCCCACTTTGCTCCGCCCCGCTTGGCGAGTCATTGGTGTAGCCTGTTTGCAGGTTAGATGCCAGATGTTTTTTTCATCCGCAATCGCAGCTGACGGCTCACAGCGCAAGGAGCCTGGTAGGTCTAATGAAGTGACAATGCTGTTTATCAAGGATCGGATAAGCAGCATGCGCTTGGCCACGTTGCAAGCTTTAGCAAGGAGAGGGTTAGCCACGCACATTGACGTATATAACTTCCCTTGCTCATGGCATGACGCCATGCCTGGCATGGCTCATCTTCTTGCAGTCAGTCAGGCTCTCTGGAATGCGCTCACTTTTAGCCGGTGCACTTAGGATAAGTCGAGTGGCACCAAAGATACGACAATGATGCTTTCCCAAATCTGACGATTTCTCATTCAAGTGTGAGTACTGCAGCCAACACTGTGCAAAGTTACTGCAAAACTGCACGGCGCATCCGGCAGGGGCATCCGAAACCCCAAAACCCCAAAGCCCTAAAATCCTGAACCCTGAACCCTAAACCCTAAACCCTAAACCTTGAACCCTAAACCCTAAACCCTAAACCTTAAACCCTAAACCCTAAGGTTCCACACCAACTGTCAGGCCGGCGATGGGCGATTGGACCCAACTTTCGCCTACCGGAGTCGGTCCAAGCCGACTCAACAGGCACCCCTCGGGTTGCTTTGGGGCCTAGGCTTTAGGGTTTAGGGTTTAGGGTTTAGGGTTCAGGGTTTAGGCTTTAGGGTTTAGGGTGTAGGGCGTAGGGTGTAGGGTTTAGGGTTTAGAGAAGTTGTATAAGGTTCAGGTCCGCAGTTTTGGGGGCGGGTTTTGGCCGGGTTTGCTTTCTGCTTGGTTGGGCAGGTAGGTTTTGGGTGGGCTTTGGCTTGTGTAAAGCTTCCCGGAACTTTTTGGCTTCCAGAAATGTTTTGGGTCAATTTGCTAGGCTCGATTTTCGGAGTCTTCTTGGGGTGGGGCATTGTAGTTTCGCCAAACAACTTTGAATACACAGAGTTATGTCACATACCATTTCCATTATTGTCCTGGTCCTGAGGGTTTAGGGTCTGGGTCTAGGGTTTTGGGCTTTGGGTTTTGGGTTTGGGGTTCAAAGGCCGTGTCTTTTGGGTTCTGGGATTGAAGCCTAGTGAGCACCCGTGAATCTGTAGGCCGGAGTCTGTCCTTGTAGAGTCTCCTGGCAGGTTCCCATACCCAATTTCTAAAGATCTCCGTGCTGAAAGCTCTAACGTTTGAGTCTGGGACGTATTTGGGACTTGCCCGTTTCTGAAAGTCCCAAAGCTTTCCAGTGTCAGAGGATGAGCTTCAAACATAAAAACGTTTTACTTCCCTATTTTGTGGGAGTCTTTTTGGGGGCCTTTGAGGAATCCTCGAGGGACTTGAGTTTGCCCCAAGTGATTCGAAGAATCTTCAAACCTAAAATGGTTCTGTTCTAGCCCATTGAGCTTCCCATACTCAGGATGCTCGTATTTCCAGGGGTGTATGAGGGATACCCGGTACCCCAGTTTTGGGAAAATACCCTATACCCTAAACCCTAAACCCTAAACCCTAAACCCTAAACCCTAAACGGGGGGTTAGGGGATTTCGCTGCGCTCCCGCAGGATCACGATGGTCTGGGACACGGTGGACGAGGGGATCTACTTGTTTGGGGGCTTGGGCGCTGGACCCGTGGCTGGCGTACAGCCCTACTGGGACAACCGCAACGACCTGCACCTCAGCACGTCAGCTAGGTGTAGGTGTTGGGGTTTAGGGTTTAGGGTTAAGGGATAAGGGTTTAGGGTTTAGGGTTTGGGGTTTGGGTGTAGGGTCTAGGGAGTACCTTGCTTGGGGTTTTCAAGGTCCAGGCCCGAACAGCACATGGATTCTGTCATCTGTGGGTCTCCTCAAAGCCCAGTTCTTTGACATGGGGTTGACCAAAAACCAGGGACCCCTAATCCAGTAGTAGGATTCCCTTAAACTTATACTGTATCCCCCTTGGGAATTATTTTCTATTTTTGTTCATACAAAACCTAAGAGGACATTGAACATAATATTTTTGTTAAGGTTCTAAGGGCAGCATAGTACAATAAGGCACCCCAGAAGGTACCCCTAACTTCGGTATCCCCGTACAGAAGCTGCTGGGTGTCCAGGTCCTTTCAGCAGAGGAGCGCTCGCGCTCAGCAAGAAAGGGGAGTTCACGAAATCCTAAACCCTAAACCCTAAACCCTAAACCCTAAACCTTAAACCCTAAACCCTAAACCCTAAACCCTAAACTCTGAACCCTAGACCCTAAAGCCTAAACCCGTAAACCCAAAACATCCCTAAGCCCTACCCCCAAACAGCCCTCCGTGCCATCATGGCTCCCCCCAAGTCACCAGAAGATCTTCTGAAGGCAATGCGATGGTTTGGGGTTTGGGGTTTAGGGTTTAGGGTTTCGGGTTTAGGGTTTAGGGTAACAGTCAGGTTCTTCTACAGCGTGACTCTGAATGCGTGGATCATCAAGTCAATAGTTGGGGCGCCCACGCCGCGCATTGGACATACTGCGGTGCTAGATCCAGGTGCCAGGATGATGTATGTGTTCGGTGGGCAGAACACAAGCATAGGCGAGCAATTCCCCGAGACGACTTTCAGTGACCTGTTTGGCTATGACCTGGCTACGGACACATGGACAGAGCTGGCGGCAAGTTCAAAGCGATCAAGGCACGCGGCCACACTTGCTTTGTAGGGCTTCCCAAGGACTCAAATCCTAAGCCCTAAACCCACATCCTAAGGCCCCAAATCCTAAACCCTAAGCCCTAAATCCTAAACCCTAAACCCCATAGACCTTAAACTGATGGTGGTGCGCAAAATTGTCCAGGCAATCCGCAGTGTGGGACAGCCAAATGAGCCGCATGATCGTCTTCGGCGGCGTTGACGGTTCTGGAACCAAGTTGGATGATGTACTGACGCCTTTGGGCTTCGCAGTTTGGGGTTTTGGGTTTGGGCTTCTTCTGGGCCACTTATGAAGGACAGCCTGAGCCTCACAACCCAAGGCCTACAAGAAGGTATCGTTGCTGTTTCTTAGTTCCGGCGCCGCAGAGGTATGATCCGAGCTCTGACTCATGGGCCTCTCCGAGTATTGCTGGCACTAAGCCGTCAGCACGCTTCGGGCATGTTGCCGTGCCTTTGCTGTTGAAAGCAAGTCAGTGCAAGCTTGTGTTTGTGAACAGTCGCTTTCAATATGAATGTGCAGTGCGCAACCACAGAGTTGCCCTGCTTTTCTCTTGACAGAGGGTATAAGCATCTCTACATGGCCAACACGACTTCGCCCCAGGTGTGGGACTCCTCGTCCGAGGTGATGCTGATGTGTTGCGGGCGTGGTGAGAATACCTACAAGCCCTACACCGACACGACGGACACCACCAACAACGACTCTCGTTCCCGATTGAGAAGGCCCAGAAAAGCCTGATGCAGAGATGCGACATGAACATTATTTTACGGGACGAAACTTTTGAAGTTTGATGACGCAAATCAGGTTTAGTGTCTAGGGTTTTTGGGGTTGGGGTTTAGGGTTTAGGTTCCCAGGACTTGTGGAGCTATTCCACAGGAGGTGGATGGACCGAGCTGGTGCAGTCTGGGAGCTTCACCCAGCGAATCGAGCCCTCGCTGGTCTGGAATCCCGCGACGGGCTCGTTGGTGGGCCCGGCTGGAGGGGTTTAGGGTTTAAGGTTTAGGGTTTAGGGTTGAGGGTTTAGGGTTTAGGCGGGTTTCGGGTTGTGGCTTGAGGTGTTCGGGGTTTTCGGTTTAGGGTTGAGTGTTTTTCTTATATATATATAATATATATATATATATATATATATATATATATATATATAATGGCTACCGCCAGTGCCGCCGACCCCCTCCAAGGGGGGCCAAGGCACTGTGGGCTCCGGCCGCGGATTATGTATATATATATATAGATATATGCGCAGGGCTTGGTCAGGTTGTAGAGTTCAGGGGGGCGAAACATGGAGCCCTGATGCGCAGGGAGTTGGGGCTAAACCCCAAATCTAAAACCGCAAACCGCAAACCCGAAACCCGCAACCCTGAAACCCCAAACCCCCAAACCCTAAACCCCCGTAACCAGGAGACTTGAACCTGAGGCCTCGACGTACACCCCAAACTCGAAACCACAAACCCGAACCCCTAAACCGCCGTGGCGGCGGAGACCAGGGCAAGCGGGGATGAAGAATGGGACCAGGAGCCATGGGTCCATGAGAAGCATGGCGGGGTGCGTGGGGGGCTTGGGCAAGGGGAGAGCGGGAAGGGCGGATGGGCGGGGGGCGGGGTGCGTGGGTGGTGGGGGTAGAGAAAGCGGGCCAAGCGGGGGACGTCGAGGGGATGGAGAGTGGGAGCATGGGCCAAGGGCGGAGTAGGCGGAGCTGGAAGGGCGGAGGGCGGAGCGGGCAGCGGGCGCCCTTTAAAGTCAGCTGAGAAGCCACATCCATGGGCCGTGGACCATGAGCCAATGGGGCCAGGAGCCATGGGTCCAGTGGGGGGCGGGGTGCGTGGGGGTGGGGGTGGGGGCGGTGCGGGTGGGGGTGGGGGTTGAGAAGCCGCATCCATGGGCCGTGGACCATGAGTCAATGGGGCCAGGAGCCCTGGGTCCAGTGGGGGGCGGGGTGCGTGGGGGGGTGGGGGTGGGGGTTGGAAGTGTGGGTGCGTGGGGGTTGGGGGTTGGGGGTGGCAGGGTGCGTGCGGGGTGGGGGTGGGGGTTGGGGGTGGAGCAGGGGAGCATTGGCAGCCATGCAGGTCGAGGGATAAAGAATGGGACCAGGAGCCATGGGTCCATGAGAAGCATGGTGGCAAGGGGAGAGCGGGAAGGGCGGATGGGCGGGGAACGGTGGTAAATCCCAAAACAGGACAAAAGGGCGTCCGCTTGTAAGCAATGGGCGGCGGGGCAGGGTGCGTGCGGGGTGGGGGTGGGGGTTGGGGGTGGGGGTGGAGCAGGGGCCAGAAATAGGAGGGATGAAGAATGGGACCAGGAGCCATGGGTCCATGAGAAGCATGGCGGGGTGCGTGGGGGGCTTGGGCAAGGGAGGGAGTGTGCGGAGCGGGAAGGGTAGAGGTGGTGGGGGTAGGGGCGGAGAAGCCACCTGCTTGGGCCGTGGACCATAATGAATGGGGAGCCATGGGGCCAGGAGCCATGGGTCCATGAGGGGCAGGGAGCTGGGTCCATGAGGGGTAGGTCAAGGGGATGGAGAGTGGGAGCATGGGCCAGAGGGGAGTAGGCGGAGCTGGAAGGGCGGAGGGCGGAGCGGGCGGAGAGGGCGGAGGGCCCCGGCATGCACTGGGGCCCTTTAAAGTCAGCTGAGAAGCCACATCCATGCGCCGTGGACCATGAGCCAATGGGGCCAGGAGCCATGGGTTCAGTGGGGGGCGGGGTGTGTGGGGGGTGGGGGTGGGGGTTGGAAGTGTGGGTGGGGGTGGGGGTTGGGGGTTGGGGGTGGCAGGGTGCGTACGGGATGGGGGTGGGGGTTGGGGTTGGGGTGGAGCAGGGGCCAAAAAAATGACCAGCATTGGCAGCCATGCAGGTCAAGGGATGAAGAATGGGACCAGGAGCCAATGGGGCCAGGAGCCATGGGTTCAGTGGGGGGGCGGGGTGCGTGGGGGGTGGGTGGGGGTTGGAAGTGTGGAAAGGGTGGGGTGTGTGGGTGGGTTGGGGTGGGGGTGGAGCCATGACGCCAGGAGCAAGGGGGCCCATGACAAGCACGGGCGGCGGGGCAGGGTGCGTGCGGGGTGGGGGTGGGGGCGGGTGGGGGTGGAGCAGCTCAAGGGATGAAGAATGGGACCAGGAGCCATGGGTCCATGAAAAGCATGGCGGGGTGCGTGGGGGCTTGGGCAAGGGGAATGTATGCGGAGCGGGAAGGGCGGATGGGCGGGGAGCGGGTGCGTGGGTGGTGGGGGTAGGGGCGGAGGGGAGCCATGGGGCCAGGAGCCATGGTGCATGAGGGGCATGGGCGGGGCAGGGTGCGTGAGGGGTAAGGGGTAGGGAGCTGGGTCCATGAGAGGTAGGTCAAGGGGATGGAGAGTGGGAGCATGGGCCAAAAGGGAGTCGGAGCTGGAAGGGCGCGGGCGGAGGGCCCGGCCATGCACTGGGGCCTTTAAAGTCAGCTGAGAAGCCAGACCATGAGCCATGGGTCCAGTGGGGGGCGGGGTGCGTGGGCGGGTGGGGGTGGGGGTTGGAAGTGTGGGTGCGTGGGGGTGGGGGTGGGGGTTGGGGGTTGGGGGTTGGGGGTGGCAGGGTGCAGGGGCCATTTTTTTGACCGACCAGGAGCCATGGGTCAAGTGTGGGTGCGTGGGGGTGGGGGTGGGGGTTGGGGGTTGGGGGTGGCAGGGTGCGTGCGGGGTGGGGGTGGGGGTTGTGGAGCAGGGGCCATTTTTTTGACCAGCATTGGCAGCCATGCAGGTCGAGGGATGAAGAATGGGGCCAGGAGCCATGGGTCCATGGGTGCGTGGGGGGCTTGGGCAAGGGCGGAGTATGCTAGGACCAGCATTGGCAGCCATGCAATAAAGAATGGGACCAGGACCCATGGGTCCATGAGAAGCATGGCGGGGTGCGTGGGGGGCTTGGGCAAGGGGAGAGCGGGAAGGGCGGATGGGCGGGGAACGGTGGTGCGTGGGTGGTGGGGGTAGAGCAAGCAGGCCAAGCGGGGGAGGTCGAGGGATGGAGTAGGCGGAGCTGGAAGGGCGGAGGGCGGAGCGGGCAGTGGGCGGAGGGGGCGGGCATGCACTAAAGTCAGCTGAGAAGCCACATCCATGGGCCGTGGACCATGAGCCAATGGGGCCAGGAGCCATGGGTCCAGTGGGGGGCGGGGTGCGTGGGGGGTGGGGGTGGGGGCGGTTGGGGGTGGGGGTGGGGGTGGGGGTGGAGCAGGGGCCAGACATAGGAGGGATGAAGAATGGGACCAGGAGCCATGGGTCCATGAGAAGCATGGCGGGGTGCGTGGGGGGCTTGGGCAAGGGAGGGAGTGTGCGGAGCGGGAAGGGTAGAGGTGGTGGGGGTAGGGGCGGAGAAGTTGGGCCGTGGACCATAATGAATGGGGAGCCATGGCGCCAGGAGCCACGGGTCCATGAGGGGCATGGGTGCGTGAGGGGTAAGGGGTAGGGAGCTGGGTCCATAAAAGGTAGGTCAAGGGGATGGAGTGGGAGCATGGGCCAGAGCGGAGTAGTTGGAGCTGGAAGGGCGGAGGGCGAGCGGGCGGAGCGGGCGGCGGAGGGCATGCACTGGGGCAAGCCACATCCATGGGCCGTGGACCATGAGCCAATGGGGCCAGGAGCCATGGGTTCAGTGGGGGGCGGGGTGCGTGGGGGGTGGGGGTGGGGGTTGGAAGTGTGGGTGGGTGGGGGTGGGGGTTGGGGGTTGGGCGTGGCAGGGTGCGTACGGTATGGGGGTGGGGGTTGGGGGTTGGGGTGGAGCAGGGGCCATATATAGGACCAGCAGTGGCAGCCATGGAAGAATGGGTGATGAGGATCCAATGGGCCAGGAGCATGGGTCCAGTGGGGGGCGGGTGCGTGGGTGGTGGGTTGGGAAGTGTGGAAAGGGTGGGTGTGTGGTGGGGTGGGGTTGGGGGTGGTGGGGATCCATGACGCCAGGATCAAGGGCCCATGGACAAGCACGGCGGCGGGGCAGGGTGCGTGCGGGGTGGGGTTGGGGGTGGGGGGGTGGAGCAGCTCAAGGGATGAAGAATGGGACCAGGAGCCATGGGTCCATGAAAAGCATGGCGGGGTGCGTGGGGTGCTTGGGCAAGGGGAATGTATGCGGAGCGGGAAGGGCGGATGGGCGGGGAGTGGGTGGTGGGGGTAGGGGCGGAGGGGAGCCATGGGGCCGAGCCATGGGTCCATGAGGGGCATAGGCGGCGGGGCAGCAAGGGGGGAGTATGCTAGGACCAGCATTGGCAGCCATGCAGGTCGAGGGATAAAGAATGGGACCAGGAGCCATGGGTCCATGAGAAGCATGGCGGGGTGCGTGGGGGGCTTGGGCAAGGGGAGAGCGAAGGGTGGATGGGCGGGGAACGGTGGTGCGTGGGTGGTGGGGGTAGAGGAAGCGGCCAAGCGGGGGGAGTGACTGGGGCCCTTTAAGTCAGCTGGGCCAGGGAGCCATGGGTCCAGTGGGGGGCTGGCGTGGGGGGTGGGGTGTGGGGGCGGGTTGGGGGTGGGGGGTGGGGGTGGGGTGGAGCCAGTTGGAAGTGTGGGAAAGGGGTTGGGGGGTGGGGTGGGGTGTGGGGGGTGGGGGGGGGGGGGTGGAGCCATGGGGCCGAGCCATGGGTCCATGACAAGCATGGGCGGCGGGGCAGGGTGCGTGCGGGGTGGGGGTGGGGGTTGGGGGTGGGGGTGGAGCAGGGGCCAGAAATAGGAGGGATGAAGAATGGGATCAGGAGTCATGGGGTCCATGAGAAGTGCGTGGGGGGCTTGGGCAAGGGGGGGAGTATGCGGAGCGGGAAGGGCGGATGGACGGGGGGCGGGGTGCGTGGGTGGTGGGGGTAGGGCAAGCGGGCGGGCATGCATTGGGGGCCGGTCGAGCTTGGGATGAAGAATGGGACCAGGAGCCATGGGTCCATGAGAAGCATGGCGGGGTGCGTGGGGGGCTTGGGCAAGGGAAGGAATATGCGGAGCGGGAAGCACAAATGGGCGGAGGGCGGGGTGCGTGGGTGGTGGGGGTAGGGCAAGCGGGCGGGCATGCGCTGGGAGGAGCCATGGGTCCATGAGAAGCATGGCGGGGTGCGTGGGGGGCTTGGGCAAGGGAAGGAGCGGGGGGCGGGGTGCGTGGGTGGTGGGGGTAGGGCAAGCGGGCGGGCATGCACTGGGGGCCGGTCGAGCTTTGGAGGGGTGGAGTAGGTGGTAGGGGCAATGGGTCTTCACTGACGCCGCCCCCCTAGGGGTCGGCGGATAAATGTCTGAAGTGTCCGCAAGAGTCAAATGGAAGGTACTGAGCACGCCCTGTTAAGCTATTTATTCATGTCTGGCACGACGTACAGAAAGTCCTAAACCTTAGACCCTAAACCCTAAACCCTAAACCCAAAACCCTAAACCCTAAACCTTAAACCTTCAACGTTATCACGCAACTTCTCATGCCGAGGCTCCTTGAACCTTTAAAGTCACGCAGAGCCTATGGGGTTTAGGGTTTTAGGGTTTAGGGTTTAGGGTTTAGGGTTTAGGGTAGATGGGCATGTAGAGCTGCATGTTTTTGCAATCAGCTCAGTACTTGGAGGTCTCATGGTACGTATTGGCCAATGAAAAACTGTACTTGTAACCCCCCTTAAGTGCCCTAATATGGTTATAAGCACAGTTATAAGTACAGCTTTAAGTACGGTTATAAGTACAGTTATAAGTACAGTTATAATTGGGGAATAAGTACCTTTCAGTACGGTTATAAGTACAGTTATAAGTACAGTTATAATTGGGTAATAAGTACTACTGTGTACGTGGATCCTTTGTGGTACACATGGTACAACCAAGAGGGTGGAAGGGTGTCGTTGTGCGTATCTCTTCTTGGTGGGTGGGTTCGGCCATTCCTTGAGCTAGAACAAGCACGGGCTTTTTCGGCCCCCTAATTAACGTGCTTGGCTCTTCTTGCATCTACAATCTCAACGAGAGCGACTTTCGTCGGCTTTCGTACCGGGGGGGGGAAGGGGAGTGTACGATACTAAAGGACCCCTAATAACCTAATATGTCCCAGAATAGTCGGATCCCGATTGTAATAAAGACCCCAAAAAAGTACTCTAGTTTCGGCAGCCCCTAAACGGATTTAGGGGTTTACGAAAATAGGGCACCCCTAGTGGAGACCCCATATAGTAGGATCCCCTTATAATGAGGACCCTCAACCCTAAACCCCAAACCCTAACCCTAAACCCTAAACCTTAAACCTTAAACCCAAAACCCTAAGCCCTAAGCCCTAAGCCCAAAGCCCTACTTTCGGAAACCCCCAGAAAGGGTACCCCCCCCCCATATTCGCAAACCCCCAAAATGGATTCAACTTTCGGATCCAGGTGGGATATGGCGGGGACTGCCCGGAGCCTTTCGGCATCCTCGACTCCCTCTTTATCTACTCGAACGCGGCTGGCCTCAAAACACTAAACCTTAAACCCTAAATCCTAAACCCTGAAGCCTAAACCCTAAACATTCGAGATGGATCAACTTTGTCGAACTTTGTAGGGAGGTTCTGGAATGTGGCAGCCGGCAAGCTCGTGGTAAACATCTCGCCCATACATGCCCGCCATAGAGCTGTTGTGAACGAGGTACCTCACCCCTGTAAGTGCAATAAGAATACTGCAATTATACTGAAAAGTCATTTGTAATGGTAGCAGGCTTTGAAACTTCCTTCTGTCTCATTGTTGAGTACAGGAAAATGCAGATCTTAGTTGTCCCTGGGTTGCTGGCCCAGGCTACGAACAGCTGGAGTGAGTACACAATCAGTGGCCCAACTGAACGCTATGCTCACGCCGGGGTCTGGAACCCTGCAGGCGAACAGCTCTATGTGTTTGGGGGGGTTGACGACAGCGGCACTGTGGACTCATTTTGGAGGTTGGACTCTGTCTTGACAAGTACGAGCTCTTCCTCTAGCAGCACCCCGAGCACTACTTCGACCTCCGGGACAAGCTCCGTGACTACGACCTCCTCCATCTCCAGCACCGCCACCGCCACCACGACCACCACCGCAACCTCCACCACCACCTACACCTCTGAGACCTCCACGACTTCCACCTCTGAGAGCTCCACGATGTCCAGGTCTCAGACGTCTGAGACCTCCACGACCTCCAAGACCTTCTCTGGGACCTCCACCTCGTCTGCGACGCGCACGTCCGTCACATTGTCGTTCACAGCCCCCACATCCACAACGTCCATGCCCAGCACCTCTACGCTCAAGACATCCACGTCTACAGCATCCACTTCCACCAGTTCCTCTATCCCCCTTGGGAATTCTTTTTGTGTTTTTGTTCATATAAAACGCAAGAGGATATTAAAAAAAAGACATATATATATATATATATATATATATATATATATAATATTTTTATTAAGGTTCTAAGGGCAGTATAGGTTCCACCACTTCCACTTCGACTGCTCCGGCTTCTTCACAGTCCACCTCTACCGCCACGTCATCGACAACTTCTGTTTCCAGTCTTTCTACAACCAGTAGCATGACAACCACAGCATCGACTTCGACAGAAACTCAGTCTACAACTTCCGGTGGTACAACGCTGACAGAAAGCTCCACCGCGACAACAACCCTGTCTGCAACAACTAGCAGGGGTGCTTCTACGACAAGCTCCAGTTCGACCACAGCACGCTCTCCAACTTCCATCTCGACCACAGCAAGCTCGACCACCGTGGAGGCAAGCAGGACCGCAACGATGACGACAACGACCTCGCTGTCCCGTGCTTCGAAGACATCATCAACAAGCAGGACTTCAGTAAGCTCATCTTCCACTTCAGTAAGCTCATCTTCCACTACCGGCCCAGGCCTGAGTATGAAACGCTTGGGGGTATGGTGTCCTTAGCGGTGCCCGTTGCCGCAGAGCAGTCCCAAAACTCAACAATATGCAGGCCTCGCTGTGATGACATCCTCTACTTCGATGTCCATTTCAACTTCCAGGCCACGCGAGTTGTGCTTGTTTGTCCTTGCGTCAGGAGTCGCATGCACAGGTGTAGCGCTTGGCGCACTCCTGGTATTGTCGTGATCTCTGCTAGTGTTAGCGGCTGAAGCTACTGCTACTTACGTTTAGCTTTACTTTAGTGTTTTTACTTTTACTTCTTACTTTTGCTTCTACTACTTCTACTTCCTGCTTGCAACTACGTCTACCACTACGTAGCACCACCTACCACTACCCTCTGCTGCCTACTACTGCCCATTTCTGCCTACTGCTACTACCCCCTACTGCTACCTACTACTACCTGCTACTAGCTGCTATTACCGACGACGACGACGACGAGGACGAGGACGACGAAGACGACGAGGAGCACGACGAGGAGCACGACGAGAACGACGACGACGACGACGACGACGACGACGACGACGACGACGACGAGGAGGAGGAGGAGGAGGAGGAGGAGGAGGAGGAGGAGGAGGAGGAGGAGGAGGAGGAGGAGGAGGAGGAGGAGGAGGAGGAGGAGGAGGAGACGACGACGACGACGACGAGGACGACGACGACGACGACGACGACGACGACGACGACGACGGCGGCAGCTGTGACGACGACGACGAAGACGACGACCATTATCAATGCTGCTACTGCTGCTGCTGCTGCTCCTGCTCCTATTCCTACTCCTACTCCTATTCCTACTCCTACTTCTCCTGCTGCTGCTGCTACTACTGCTACTGCTATTGCTACTGCTACTCCTACTACTACTACTACTACTACTACTACTACTACTACTACTACTACTACTACTACTACTACTACTACTAGTACTACTAGTACTAGTACTACTACTACTACTACTACTACTACTACTACTACTACTACTACTGCTACTACTACTACTACTACTACTACTACTACTACTACTACTACTACTACTACGACTACGACTACTACTACTACTACTACTACTACTACTACTACTGCTACTACTACTACTACTACTACTACTACTACTAAGGAGAGGTACTTTATTTGATGGTGTGGTTTTCCTTCTTTGACGTGCTTGAACGCATGGATTTTTGCTACTTTCCACACTTTCTGGGGGAGCGTCGGTTTTTCTTGCACATATCAGTTGTTTGCAAACTTTTCGACTTTCATCGACTTGGGATGAGGTTTTGGGTTGAGGGTTCTGAGCTCAGGGTTGTTGGGCTTGCATAATTTTTTGGGAATGAGGTTTCTACTTTCTGACTGCTTTGGACTTGCTATGAGGACCTTGGATTTCCCATGAGGGTCTTGGATTTCCCATGAGGGCCTTGGATTTCCCATGAGGGCCTTGCGCGACTAATTTATGATTAAACTTGGCTTTGGCTTGGCTTGGCTTGGGGGCGGGGCGCTTGGGGCTGGTGGGAGGGGGGGGGGGGGGTTCTGGTTTAATTGCAGAACACTTGTGGGCTTGCACTTGAGGCTTTTGGGTTTGGAGTTTATGGGTACAGGACTTTTGGGCTTGCACTTCAGGCTTTATGGTTCGGGCTTAGGGCTTAGCGGTACAGGGCTTTTGGCCTTCCACTTGAAGCTTGGGTGTTTGGGGTTTAGGGCCAGGGCTTCAGGGTACGCATGACTTTCGGGCTTCCCCCACTTGAAGCTTGGGGGTTTGACACCACGGCCGAGAGCTACACGAACACCTTCAAATCAAGAAAGAAGCCGCGCGACAATGCCAAGACAGAAAATCGACTCCCCCCAAACCATGACTACATCCCGTGTAGAAATGATGCGCCTGCCAACGTTTTCAAGCACGGTGATACACGAAAGCACACCGTCAACTACAGCATGTGCGCGTACTACTACTAGTACTAGTACTACTACTACTACTACTACTACTACTACTACTACTACTACTACTACTACTACTACTACTACTACTACTACTACTACTACTACTACTACTACTACTACTACTACTACTACTACTACTACTACTACTACTACTACTACTACTACTACTACTACTACTACTACTACTACTACTACTACTACTACTACTACTACTACTACTACTACTACTACTACTACTACTACTACTACTACTACTACTACTACTACTACTACTACTACTACTAAGTTTATTACTACTAGTACTACTATTACTACAAGTATTATTACTACTACTGCTACTATTATTATTACTCTTGTTATTTCTATCACCACCTTTATTCTGAGGCTAGGAACAACCAGGACAACAACGAAGAAAACCGTAACCGTACTACCAACCGCTGCAAAAGCTTCTTCTTCTCCGGCCTTTAAAGTTGTCTTACCACCAGAACAGATATTGTTGTGCTGCTAGTGTCGCTGGGGTCGAGGACGGAGGATGTCAGCGCGGACACAGTTGTGGAGCGCCTGTCTCAAGTTGAGCAGGCCGAGCAAGGCATCGTGATGGGTCTGCTTGAATTCCTCATGGGCAGCAACACCTCCGACGTGGTGGGGGGCTTCTCCCGATAACCGAGTTTCAGAGTAGGGTATATACATCATTTTTTACCAATCACGGGGTTTGGAGAAATTCCAGGTGGCCAATGCCTCAAACGCCTCGGCGGGAGTTTTGGGCTACGTGTTTTCAAATCAGGAGGAGGCTGCAGTGCATGCTTGGGTCTTGGCCTCAGCTCCTCCTAACGAAACGCTGGCTCCACCGCTGGTTCTGGATGCAGGAACGTTTGGTTTGGTGGTTCCGCCGGAAGCCCTTGAGCAAGTTGCGACGCTGGCCGCCGACGTGGGCCTCCCGCGGCAGGTGGTGCTTCTCACCATCAGCACCTTCGAAGCTACGCCAGAGTTGAATAGCAGCAACAGCAACAGCTCCTTGATCTCGGAGCCGGTGCACGTGAGCTTCCGCGGAGCGGACGGTCAGCGCCTTCGTGTGAGTGGGCTGACAAAGCCTTTGGAGCTGAGGTTTGAAGGCCTAGAGCGCTTCAATGAAAGCAGCCTCCAGCAGGCTCGGTGCGTGTTCTGGGACGAAGAATCTGGAAGCTGGTCCAGGGAAGGAGTGACACGCTCGGAGCAGTCAGAGGGGTTTGTGTGCCTCACAAGCCACTTGACGCTCTTCGGGGTGTTTCTGGAGGCGGTCGGCAGGGCTTTCCGGTGCTCTTCAGCTTCTGAGGTGTTGTCGGTTGAAGGCCTCCAGAATCTGGGCACGACGGAGTGGCTAACGTATGCAGCCACCATCCTTACCTTCGTGTTCCTGCTCGTTTTTGCTGCTGCAATAGCTTTCGGAGCACACCTGGATAGAAGGACGAGAAGAGCCATCTCTGCAGTTGAGGTGGAGGAGGTGCTCCTGGTGAGCCGTTCCGAAGAGCAGGCTCGGGAGGCAGGGTGGTCGCAGGTGGGCCGCAGCGCCCTTTGCTGCTGGTGCTTCACCAGCGCCTTCGCCAAAATGGCGTGGCTAGTGAGCACCGTCTTCGGGTTCGAGGCCGCGGATGATGTGGGCGAGCTTGCCAATCCACAGGCTGCGGCGGTGAGTCGGTGCATCGCCTTGCTCCACGCCTACAACGCAGGCGCCTGCAACGAGAGCATCCTAGCAGTGATGGCCTCCAGCGGCGAGCGAAAGCTCCGGTCGGGGGCCTCATTCACTGTCCAGGGCAAGCGCAGCGCCTCCTCCCAGGCTTCTGCAACGTCGGAGACCTGGGATGTCCATTATCATGGGGTGCGAGCGGTGAACCAGTACCTATCTGCCTCTTGGTACCATCGGGTGGCGATGCTGCTGCCGTGCCTGCACCCGTGGCTGATGCTGACGCTCATGAGCCTCTTCAGGTCTCACACCATGCGAGCGGCCCTTATCGTCCTCAAGGTTGCGACGTCAGCCTTTGCGAACGCCTTGTTCTTCACAAGTGGGGCGCAGGGGAGAGATTCCGATGCTGAGACGCATTGAGATCGTGGTGTTGGCATTGTCAGGGACTGCAACAAGGGTGGCCTAGATACTACATGCTAAGCCGGGTTTAGATAGTTTTCGTGGGCTTCTTCCGAATTAGGGAGCTCTTGACATCGACCATACCAGGAAACAATTAGCGCCCAGCGTTAGAGTGTGCAGCTGTAGCAAACGGCAAAGCCGTTCTTCATACTTGCCTTGGAGAGCTGTGAAGTGGGTTGGAGCAGTCGAGAGTGTGCGGTAACCCTAAAGGGAGTTAAGGGTTTCGGGTTTCGGGTGTCGGGTTTAGGGTTCAGGGGTTTCGGGTGTAGCTGGTGTAGCTTCGTGTTGCCCTGAATGAGGATGATGAATGTGTTGCGGAGCACCCCGTCGGTGAGAAGCTGTTAACCGCAACCGTTGTTGGTCTTTCTTCCGCGTGCCTCAGAGACTTGGCTTCCGCATGGCAAGCCTTAAGCCTCTCTGAGCCAAAACTCAGACGCTACATATCATAAAGTATACGATAAGATATTATAAACAAACAATAAATAAATAAGTAAATTAGATATATATATATATGTATATGTACACACACATGTATATGTATATGTATATATGTATATGTATATATGTATATATGTAATTTTGTATATATGTATATATGTATATATGTATATGTATATATGTATATATGTATATATGTATATATGTATATATGTATATATGTATATATGTATATATGTATATATGTATATATGTATATATGTATATATGTATATATGTATATATGTATATATGTATATATGTATATATGTATATATGCATATATGTATATATGTATATATGTCTATATGTATATATGTATATGTATATGTGTATATGTATATGTAGATGCATATGTATATGTATATGTATCTGAATCTGTAAGTGTATATGTATATGTATACGTATATGTATATGTATATGTATATGAATATGTATATACACATATGTAGATATGTGCAGAACACAATGTCAAGACCGAGCTTGGCTCCATCTTTAGTCGCTGAAATTAAGCTTCCGGAAGAGAAGTGAAAGGCAAGCCAGGCCTGTGGAGCCAGTCCAAGCCGTGGGCTCCCAAAGTCTCCCCTGAACCCGAGACCCTAAACCCTAAACCCTAAACCCTAAACCCTAAACCCTAAACCCTAAACCCTAAACCCTAAACCCCAAACCCTAAACCCTAACCCTAAACCCTAACCCCAAACCCCAAACCCTAAGCCCTAAACCCTAAACCCTACACCCTAAACCCTAAAACCTAACCGCTAAAGCCTAAACCCTAAACCCCAAACCCGAAACCCTAACCCTAAAGCCTAAACCCTAACCCTGAAGCCTAAACCCTAAACTCTGAGAACCGGAGCTGAGGTGACGTGCTGGTGATTTTGTTGGTCCTGCTGCAGCGACGTCGGATCATGGTGCGAGACTTGTGGACGGCCGAGATGAAGGTGACTTCGACACGCGAAACTTTTGGGGCAGTTTTATGGTGTAGGGTTTAGGATTTAGGTTTTAAGTGGGGTTTCGGGCTTGGCGCATGCGGGGTCTCAAAAAGCGCGGAGCACTTTCAGTGCATGCGGAGGTTTAGGCGGCCAGCCCTTGTAGGTATGGTTCTTCGTCCTCAATGGCAGACAAATGACGATCTTCGCAAGTGAACCCATAAAAACACCATTTTTGGAAGGATTTCCAAGCAAAATTGATGGACAAATCTTAAGAAAGTGGTAACGATCTAGGTCTCATAGGGTATGAAAGACCCCCTCCCGATTCTTGAAGGAGTCGAGCGTCCAAGCTAGGATCTCACTTTTTTTTGTCCATGAACGAGCTACTTTGCAGAATGGGATTTCAGAGATTCCGAATGTTCCCACACAGAAAGCCTCACAACCTGGAGCTCGAAGCCCCTCAAGAAGAAGCGCATGCAAATACCAAGGGTGTCGGGTTTAGGGTCAAGGGTTTTGGGTTTAGGGTTTAGGATTTAGGGTTTAGGGTTTAGGGTTAAGGGTTTAGGGATTAGGGACACATGTACAAGCAAGCTCTCGAAAGGTCAGGCAGCTGCGGCAGTGGCGCATAAGGAGGCAGCTCTTCTGGTTCGTTTGGTTTGGTTCCTTCGTCTTTTCCATTCTTTACATATTGTCCCTCGGCCGCAGCCTTCTAGCAGAAATGCTTGTGGTCTCTGTTTGTGGTGACCAAAACCCTAAACCCTAAACCCTGAATCTCAAACCCTACACCCTAAACCCCGAACCCTGAACCCTAAACCCTAAACCCTACAAGTATGTGTCGTCCAGGTTGCTGGGCCTTTGGGTGCCCGCGAGCCCCGCCCCTGACCTCCCTTTGCCCGGGTTTGAGGGTTTAGGGTTTAGGGTTGAGAATTTAGGGTTTAGGGTTTAGGGTTTAGAATTTAGGGTGTCCAAGGTCCTTCCTTGCCAACGTGAGCGAAGCTGATGCCGCAGAATGGATGGAAAGCAGTGGGGTCAGCGTTTTGCAAGACACTTAGACCCCTGATCCAGAGAAACTTTGAGATTGTTGCCCTAAACCCTAAACCTTAAACCCTAAACCCTATACATCAGACCGGTACCAAGACCTCAAGTTTAAGCTCTGGCAGCTAAGGACGTCCTTCTCAAGCCCCTGCTCATGGCAGTGGGATATGCCACATTGACGACTCTCGTGCTGTCGTGTAGCCCGCGCGTCAAAGACGCGGTTCTCAACCAATGGATATGCCAGGACGAGGTGATCGAAAGTGTGGCGGAGGATGCAACTAGCTTAGGATTGCCTGGCGAGTCAACAGGCGTGGATGAGACATTGTCCATCTTCAGTTCCGAGCCTCCCGAGCCCGTCAAGAAAACATGGCTCTGACGGTCTGCGCGGAGCCGGCGTTCGGAAGCTCAGCTACCTCTGCAGCGGGGGCTACCCCTTCGGGAGCCCCTAGCTGCATGGAGGCTTTCTGTACTTCGTGGCCAATTTTCTGGTAGCGGGGCTTCCGGCGCGTTTTGTTTTAGTTCTGTGCCAGACATGAGCGCGCTCACTCGGCAAACAGCTCGGCGGTTGCAAAACAGACCCTGGGCCTGTGATAGGCAAGTGACGTGCGGACTGTGACAGGTGGTTCAAATGCGGGTTCGAAGCTGAGGCGTTTGGAAACCTTGCCAGTTCGATACAGCCCCAAATATAAGCCCTAGGAACTTCCTTCTTAGTCACCACCCCTAAAACCCTAATGCCTAAATTCTAACCCGAAACCCTAAACCCTAAACCCTAAACCCTAAACCCTAAACCCTAAACTCCGCTTCCATCAAAACCCCGGAGCCTTGAAGTGCACGGAATGTGCATGCCGGCTTGGTCGCTCACGAGACTTCGAGACTTGCTGAGCCAAGAGTCCATCTCTCTCTCTCTCTTTCTATATATATAGATGTATATAGATATATTAGATATCGAATATGTAGTTTTATATATATATATATATATATATATGCATACATATCTACTGGTTCTTAGTTCCAAACCCTGGGGCTTAGGGTGTGGCTCAGTGCGCACCCCGTGTGGACGCAGCTTTTTGGCCAGGGAGAGATAAGGACATGACACCCTCTCAGGGATCCCCAAGCGCAGCCACCTTCAAGCCCGCAAGCTTCTAACCCCGAAACCCCGAAACCTGATGACCTCGGACCAGGAGCTTGAGCCTATCGCACTGCAGTGTTGTGGTTTAGGGTTCAGGGTTTAGGGTTTAGGGTTCGGGTTTAGGGTTTAGGGTTTAGGGTTTAAGTTATCATCTTAGTTGTCATCTTTGTTGTCATCTTTGTTGTAGTAGCCACCACCAGCATTGCCAGCAAACAGGTAGCAGCAACTCAAATGGCATGGCAACTCCTGTTGCTGCTTCGTTCATGCTGTTGTTTCCTGCCTTGTGCCATGTTGACCGTTGAACTCTATGTGCTGCAGGACCTGCATTCCGTGCTGCTGTGCAGCCTCTAGCTTTGGTCTTAAGTAAACCCTAAACCCTAAACCCTAAACCCTAAACCCTAAAACCTAAACCCTAAACCGGATACCTTTGGGATTCGAGTTCCAGGCGTCAAAATTTGGTCCCATGATGCAACACGTCGGACATGCGCAGTGTCAGCCGGCTTCCAGGAGAAGAGAAAGCCTCAGTGAAGCTTGCTGTCATCCGGTGGACAAGGCCCTGTATGCGGGGTTTACGAGAATACGGGACCTAATATATACCCCAAATCGTAAGATTCTGCCAGGATTCCCTTGTAGTAAGGACCCGGATAAGGCACCCTGAATTTCGGAAGACCCTAAACCCTAAACCCTAAACCCTAAACCCTAAACCCTAAACCCTAAACCCCAAACCCCAAACCCTAAACCCCCGTATGTTGCGGGGGACGCACACAGACTTGCACTTTCGGGGAGATGAAGCGTTATACAGGGTCGGAATAACTACAAATAATTAAGTAACATTCTCCTACGGTCCCTTTGTAGTTAAAGCATAAAACCTTGTTCTAATTATTCAGGCCCTTGTACTATGTCGTTGTGTTCAGAACATGTGCCTGAGCCCACACCAGACTCCCAACCTTTGATGCTGGCCTTGCTTTCCAGGATGGCAATCGGATACCGTGGATTCAGAGTCCAGCACTCGCCCCAGCGTCTCAACGAGGGTGTCCACGCCCGAAACTCTTCCTCAACTCCAGGTCGTCTAGACTTGTAGCACCTGCGACATCAGGCTGCCGATATCTTCTTCACGGTCCTGATCGTGCTGAGCACGATCCTTCTAGGCGCCCTGCGACCGGCATGGGCGAATGCGACTAAAACTCAGGAGCTGCGATTTTCAGCCCAAGCCCGAAGCCCTAGCCCAAGCCCTAAACCCCAAGCCCTAAACCCTAAGCCCTAAACCCTAAGCCCCAAACCCGAAGCCCTAAACCCTAAGCACTAAACCCGAAGCCCCAGAAATCCATGCCTCGAGCCGCCGACCTGCCTTCGTGTTATCTCACACCCCCAATGCGCCAGCAAGAGCACCAAAGGGTTCTCTAAACCCTTAAGCCTTAGACCCCAAACCCTAACTCTAAACCCTAACCCCTAACCCCTAAACCCTAAACCCTAAGCCCCAAACCCCAAACCCTACATCCTTACAAGCTTCTAGTGCCCCTGGACTCCTGAAGCCCGCACAGATTCGCCGTTTAGGGTTGAAACCCTAGAAATCTAAACCCTCAACCCTCCTCTTCTGGGCCAGGTGTGGATATCGAGCTGGGACTGCGCCAGGTGGCGGAGGCCTGTTCTTTTTCGTTTTCGGCTTTCGGGGTTTAGGGATTTCGGGATTTCGGGTTGAGGGTTGGGATTTTAGGGTTTAGGGATTTCGGGTTTAGGGTTTTGGGATTTAGGGATTTGGTTATAGGGATGTAGGGATTCATGGTTTAGGGATTTAGGGTTTAGGGTTTATTTGGGGTTTAGGGTTTAGGGATATTTAGGGTTTAGGGATTCAGGGTTTAGGGAATGGGGTTGAGGGGCCCAGGAATCCCCGAAACCTCAAATACTTGTCAGCCCGGTGATGCCCTTTTGCCCGATTTTGGTTCAGGGTTTAGGGTGTATTCACGGGGTGGGTATCTGAAGGGAGGGCGGGAAGTTGACAGGGCTGCCTGTCAAGTTGCGCACGTGGTTCTTTGCTTTTTGGTGCTCTCGGTTCGGCCTAACAACATCTCGTCTACAGTATACCCAGCTTAGGAGTCGGCACACGTCTGATTGGGTGTAAGCACACCGCAACTCACCACCATACCCTAGCCCTAAACCTAAATCCTAAACCCTAAACCCTAAACCCTAAACCCTAAACCCTAAACCCTAAACCCTAAACCCTAAACCCTAAACCCTAAACCCTAAACCCTAAACCCTAAACCCTAAACCTAAACCCTAAACCCTAAATCCCAAACCCCTACACCCTAAACCTAAACCCTAAACCCTAAGCCCTAAACCCTAAACCTGGCAACGGTGTTGCACCCCGGTGAAATCCACACCGCAGGGGTTAAGATCAAGGGCTTCGGGGTTTGTGGCCAGACAATCCCCGAATCTTCTATCTAGGGCCGCCCCGACAAAAGGGGCCGCGGATTCAGAGAGCGGATTAGGCTTTAGGGTTTAGGGTTGCTTTAAACGGATTGTCGGACCCTTGGCTGGACCAGGACCCAGGTGTACAGTTCAGAGGGTTCAGGGTTTCGGGCTTGGGGTTTAGGGTTTAGGGTCTAGGGTTTAGGGTTTAGGGTTTAGGGTTGTGCGCAGGAGAGGGTGTGCGGGGCAGGGCTTCGTGAGAGACCGAGACAGGGCTCAGCATGAGCAAGTTTACCCGAAAGAGGGCACCCCACATGTTAGGCCCAATGCCTAAGCCATAAGCTGTAAACCCTTCACCCTAAACCCTAAACCCTAAACCCTAAACCCTAAGCCCTAAACCCTAACCCCACATCTTGGGTGGTCGCTGAGGACTGGCGGGATGTGATCTCGTGGATTCAGCCGGCGGACTCAGATGCTCGGAAAGTCTTCCCCTAAACCCTAAACCCTAAACCCTAAACCCCAGAACCCTAGACCCAAAACCCTGTACCCTAAACCCAAAACCCTAATCCCTAAACCCTAAACTTTGAGCCCCTTAACCCTTTAAGCATGAATTTGAAGATTCTCGGGGTTGGCGCATATTCAGCGTCCGAATGGCTACAATGCTTGGGGCTTTAGGGGGCTCGAGGTTTTGGAGGACTTGCGCCCGTGAGTTTCCGTTCTATCTGAGGTGCTGGTGAAGGGTTTCGGTTTCGGGTTTAGGAGTTAGGGTTTAGGGTTTGGGCTCTTTTAGGGTATTCTGTGTGTTTTGGTTGGGCATGGCCGATATCAGAGTGGCGGCTGTGCTTTGTTGCCCCTTGGTGGTGTATATTCTTTCTCCTGCCAAGGGCAACAAGCAACCCGTAGCAGGGTTCGGGTTTAGGGCTTAGGGCTTAGGGTTTTTAGGGTTAGGGTTTAGGGTTTAGGGTGTAGGGTTTAGGGTTTAGGGTTTAGGTTTAGGGTTTAGGGTTTAGGGTTTAGGGTTTAGGGTTTAGGAGGATTCTCATGCCGCCCGGCTTGCCGATAAGCAAATCCCCACAGGAAGGTCTTAAATTCTTAAAACATCCCAATTCCTGAAACCCCTAAGCCCTCAAGCCCTCAAGCCCTAAGCCCTAAGCCCTAAGCCCTAAGCCCTAAACCCTAAACCCTAAACCCTAAACCCCTAAACCCTAAACCCTAAACCCCAAACCCTAAACCCCAAACACCCCAAAGCCCCCAAACCCTCAAACACAGTCTCTCAGGTTCGGGTTGCTGCTGATCTTCGTCGTGGAGCTTGTGCTGCGTGTTGGGCTCCCAGGGTTCCTTCACGTTGAGGCTCAGTGTGTAAGGCGCAGGCTTTGAGTTTAGGGTTTTAGGGTTTGAGGTTTGGGGTTTGGGGTTTGGGGTTTGGGGTTCAGGGCTTGGGGTTCAGGGTTTGGGGTTTAGGGTTTGGGGTTTGGGGTTTAGGGTTAAGGGTTTGGGGTTCAGGGTTTGGGGTTTAGGGTTTGGGGTTTAGGGTTTGGGGTTTCGGTTTGGGGTTTAGGGATTTAGGGTTTAGAGGTTCAGGAAGCCCAGCGAGTTCGGAATGCCATTCGCTCTGAATTGGCCCACTTCTCTGTATGATGGTCCCCTGGTGTGTCGCCTGCCCCCCCCTCCCCCTTCTCCACCGGGAAACCTTTCTGGGTTGAGGGTTTCGGGTACTGAGAGCAGGTCGCTCGAGGAGCTCAGGGTTTAGAACCCCAAAACCCCTAGCTTTCTGACGGCCATGGTGCGACCAGCGGGATGGGACTCAACAGCCATTAAAGCAGAAAGGGTTCAGGGTTGAG